TCCTCCTCCTCCAACTCCAACTCTTCCAACTCCTTCCTCCTTTGACCTTTGTCTCTCTCACGCCCCGTCTCCGGGCGTGCGCGCGCGCGCACACACACAGACACACACACACACACACACACACACACACACACACACACACACACACACACACACGAAGCCCAGCGCGACAACGACGAGAACGTCGTCTCCTTGCACACCGCCCGGGCACACCACCACCACCACCGACGCCGACGTGCCGCGCGGAAGTGCGTTCGAGACGATTAAGACGAGAGCGAATAATAATAACAACCGCTGCATGCCGCTCCGGGGAATATCATATTAAATTGCGATTCGAGAGGAGAAGGCAAGAAGAGCGTGCAGAAGCAGTTTGGGGGGGGGGGGGCGGTCGTAAAATGTTCCGGAAATGGTTGGTGTCGCTCCACCTCCCTCCTTACCTCCCTTCCTCCGGGAGGGACGTACGACGCGCGAGGACGTTGCCAACCTCGACATCCGCACGGACGGGACGCACACAAAGAGTGCGGTGACGTTTAGAATGCAACGTCGAAAAACAATAATATCTCATCGAAAAAAAAAGGAACGGAGGCGCGATGTCATGGAGGTATGGTTGGTGGTGAGCAGGGCTCGAGGGGTTATTTCCTCCCGGAATACGCTGTACACCCCCCACCTGGGTATTAAGCGGTATTACTTGTAATGTAATACCGAAAAATAACAAAATATGCTGTAAATTGGCAATGCGTGTAATACCGGCTTAATACTCTGTAATACCACGTAATTCGGTGTAATACCATTCAAGTACTCTGTACAAGTTTCATGACAGTGAATTCCCCCTCTGCAAATCAGTCAAAACGACTAATAATTACGTATTCCCAAGTTGTTGTTGTTTTTTTCGTTATATGTCGCGTGCGCGCGATGCGAGTGCGATTCCCGGAGTACTATTATGTATCTATTTGTTAGAGATGGGGGGGGAGGCGTAGCCTAATCTTGGCGGGAACCGCAAAAATCCCCCCCAAAAAGATCCCGCGCTTCCATCCGCGCGGTCCACAACACGGCGCCGCCAAATGTGCCCTCTGCGCCCGTGAGTGATTCCCCCTTCCTGGTTCTGGTTTTGCGAATGATGACCCTTGATCCCCGCATGATCATGTCGGTGGTTATGGTATGGTCCTCCACGGCGGCGTGAGTCACCCGGCCGCCGCCCGCCGGGCCGGGGGGGTTGCCTGCTCTCCTGCCTCCTGGCGGTAGGCATCAAGGCCGGGAGGCCATCCGCCTCCGGGCACACAGCGAAACCAGACTTAATATCGTGCGCACATGAAATGATGATAGACAATGCACTGCTCACACTACTCCAAAAGTGCATCTTCTAAATCAAGAACTTACAAAGAAAAAACAGCTAGTTGCGTTGCTAAAATTGATTGTAATTACAGTTACTTGCCCGCGTCCTCCGCGCGGGAACCTGTTCTATGGGATATGAAACAAACGCCGACTATATAGAGGCAAAGAAGAAAAGAGAGGCTTATAATGAGAGAGGACGACGGCAAAACTCATGGCGTCTCGTCGGCCATTAAGAAGAAGGGCTTTGCGGTAATAGCCATATGGGGGGG